TTTGGCCTGTTAATTTCAATCCATAACAACTCCTCATTATTTGCTGCTAGTTCATTCTTCACAGTGAAGGGAATATTATCTCGTGTGTAAAGCAAAACTCCACCTCCGTTTAATTTTGCTGATCCATTGCGGTCTTTTCGAACTGCCGAGTACCCTGGTATAGTGACTTCACAGTCAGATATCTTCAGAGAAAGCCAGGTATCACTTAGTGCAAGCACATCAAAGATGTTAGTTGACACCAATTTTCGAACACCATCCAATTTGTTTACAAGTCTATTGACATTTAGGTGGGCGATCTTGAGTCCTCTTAAAAGACGAACTTTAGGAGCGTCCATGGAATCGTTTGGCGCTGTAGTTTTTGGGTCGTGAAAAACATTCGTAGGAGAAAAAGGTCCGAGAAATAAGCAGTGCGTACAGGACCAATTTGTGGCCAAGTCGCTAACATCAAGATATTCACGATGATTCACGTTTATGCATTTCTCATGAAATCAACGATCATTTTCATCGCGTTGCACGGCTCTTTGATTTTCCGGCAACCTTTAGCACACAAAGCACATGGATCTGTTTTTGGGCCTGGATTTAAACCTACATCACCCGCAAGAACCACCAGGAATTTAAGATTTGGTTGATTTCAAGATTTTAGTTTTTTAAAATCCTCAATTAAAGATTTTTGCTGACTACAAGGTTTTAGCTTTCCAAAATCCTGAATTCAAGATTTTGGCTGACTGCACGATTTTAGTCTTTAAAAATCCTGATTTCAAGATTTTGGCTGACCTTAAGATTTTAGGTCTTTAAAATAATGAATTAGACATTTTGGCTGACTTCAAGATTTTAGCGTTCCAAAACCCTGGTTTCAAGATTTTGGCTAACATTAAGATTTTAGCCCTCCAAAATCCTAAATTCAACATTTCGGCTGCCTTCAAGATTTTTGCTTTCCAAAATTCTGAATGCAAGATTTTGGCTAATTTTAAGACTTGAGCATTAAAAAATCCTGATTTTGGCTGTCTTTAAGATTTTTTATTTCAAACTAATGGATTCAAGTTTTTACTGAGTTGAAGATTTTAACTTTCCAACATCCTGAATTCCAGATTTTGGCTGACTTCAAGATCTTACCTTTCCAAAATCCTGAATTCAACATTTTGACTGACTTTGAGATTTTAGCTTTCCAAAATCCTGAATGCAACATTTCGGCTGACTTCAAGAATTTAGCTTTCCAAATTCCTGAATTCAAGATTTTGACTGATTTCAAGATTTTACCATTCCAAAATCCTAAATTCAAGATTTTGGCTGACTTCAAAATTTACACTTTCCAAAATCCTGACTTCAAGATTTTGGCGGACTTCAAGATTTTACCTTTCCAAAATCCTGAATTGAAGATTTCGGCTGACTTCAAAATTTTGGCTTTCCAAAATCCTAAATTCAAGATTTTGGCTGACTTCAAGATTTTAGCTTTCAGAAATCCTGAATTCAACATTTTTGCAGACTTCAAAATTTTAGCTCTCCGAAATCCTGAACTCAAGATTTTGGCTGACTTCAAGATTTTAGCTTTTCAAAATCTGAGTTCAACATTATTTGGCTGACCTCAAGATTTAAGCTTTCCAAAATCCTCAATTAAAGATTTTACCTGAATCCAAGAGTTTATTTTTCCAAAATCCTGAATACAATATTTTGGCTGACTTCAAGACTTTAGTTTACTAAAATACTAGATTTTGGCTGACTTCAAGAATTTAGCATTTGAAAATCCTGAATTCAAAATTTTGATGACTTAAAGATTTTATCTTTGCCAAATCCTGAATTCAAGATTTTGGCGGTCTTTAAGATTTTAGTTTACCAAAATAATAGAGTCAAGATTTCGGCTGAGTTTAAGATTTTAGCATTCCAAAATCCTTAATACAACATTTTGGCTGAATTCAAGATTTCAGTTTTCCGAAGTCCTGAATCAAAATTCTGGCCGACTTCAAGACTTTAACTTTCCAAAATCGTGAATTCAAGATTTTGGCTGACTTTAATATTTTTGCTGTCCAAAATCCTGAATTTAAAATTTCGGTGGACTTCAAGATGTTAGCTTGTTAAAATCCTGAATGCAAGATTTTGGCTGACTGTAAGATATTAGCTTTCCAAAAACCTGTGTTCAACACTTTGGCTGACTTCAAGATTTTAGATTTCCAAAATCACGAATTCAATAATTTGGCTGTCTTTAAGATTTTAGCTTTCCAAACTCCGTGTTCAACATTTTGGCTGACTTGAAGAATTTAGCTTTCCAAAATCCTGAATTCAAGATTTTGGCTGACCTCAAGATTTTAGTTTTCCAAAATAATGAATTAAGGATTTTGGCTGACTTCAGAATCCTAAATTCAAGATTTTGGATCACTTCAAGACTTTAGCTTTCCAAAATTCTGAATTCAAGATTTTAGGTTTTCAAGATCCTGAATTCAAGATTTTAGTTTTCCAAAATAATGAATTCAAGATTTTAGCTGACTTCAAAATTTTAGCTTNGCATTCCAAAATCCTTAATACAACATTTTGGCTGAATTCAAGATTTCAGTTTTCCGAAGTCCTGAATCAAAATTCTGGCCGACTTCAAGACTTTAACTTTCCAAAATCGTGAATTCAAGATTTTGGCTGACCTCAAGATTTTAGTTTTCCAAAATAATGAATTAAAAATGACTTCAAGATTTAAGCTTTCCAAAATCCTGAATTCAATATTTAGTCACTATTTCGTCCAGAGATATGGTATGCTAAGAATCGTCATATAAGTTTTAGGTTCTAGACTTTTTACATTTTTGATAAAATTACGAAAAACTGTCGACAACCCGTGAGGCCAAAAAATCACAGAAATGAGGTCAAATTTCACGATCAGAGAAGGGAACTCGCGTGAAGGCGCATAGCCAATTATGGCTTTCCTTAGTTTATAATTTTATTTTGGAGGTATTGCTAAGCTGCTTTGATGATATTTTAGACTTACAATTGTAATTCCAAATTCCTGGAGAACAAGCGAAGAGAACTGAAATTTCTAGACTTTGAAAATCAAAAATTCCATACCGTTTTCAAACATCTCAAAACATACTCGGTATTATGTACAATTCTTTCAAAATTCAATTCTAGCAAGTACGAGAGCTGTTTTTGAACGTGATGTAATTTTTTCTTGGTAAACGTTATTTCTGAGGCGCGCAGCCTCGTGCAAGTTGATGCAATTTGACCTTTCGAAGAGATTTTGTTTAACCAGGAAATGTAAACAATTCGACTAGCCTCAGCTCTCCTTTTGAGCAAACCATTGAAAAAGCTTGCCATTTCCCATTAAAACTACCCAGTAAACCTAAGATAATACTTCGATGACAGCTTACCTACCAAATGGGTGTTTGAAGGCAAGTTATTTTGATGTTCTTCGCTAATTTTCCTGTGTCTTGCTGCCGTGCTCAGCCACCGGCCTTTTCATACGGCTACGGCATTTTCTAAGCGTCACCTTTCTCTGGCTTGTCCAATATTTTTGCAGGACCTGGATCCATGTCTTGCATATAAGGCATCCTTTGGGTATCTATTGAGTTTTTTATTGAATATTTCTGATGAAAAGAGGCAAGAAGTGAAGGAACTGATTGAACTGAAAAATAGACCAAGATCGATGTCGCGCCATCTTTTCATCTAACTGATCACGTGCCACAAATACATCCGCGTGGATATTTTTGTCTTGCTTTTGCCATGGGATCCCGCATTTACCAAACCAGTCGGTCTGACTTTCTCTATACTTCCGAGGAAGATATTTCTTTGCCCAATCTGGAACAATTTAAACAGACGACTCATCAGTCGCTTCCAAAAGCTGTACTCTCGAGCAATCCTGATTGACGAACGGGAGGAGATGAGACTTCCACGCCAATATAGCAGTCTTTGCATTCTTGACTCTGAAAACAAGTTCTTCCTTTATGTTGGATGTCATGTTTTGACTTTGCCACAAGACGAGAGGGAGGGGAGTTGCAGATGCTAACGTTCGTACACATTTTCAAGTTCTGTAGTCAAGACAGCTGCACAGTCCTTGCCGTTATGGCTGATGTTATTCGGCAACTGAAGATCGCCATGCCTGGGCTCAAGACCGTCTGTTATTGGCAAGATAATGCCGGCTGCTACCACTGCGGAACCACTCTCGTCTGTGCAGCAGCCCTTGACCATGAAGGTGTCAAGATCAGGCGTCTAGATTTTTCCGATCCACAAGGGGCAAGGCGGCACGTGATCGGAAGGCTGCAACTATAAGGTCACATATCAGGATTTACCTTAAGGCTGGAAATGATATCGAGACGCCTGAGCAGTTGAGAGACGCGATACTCTCTTCCGGTGGAGTTCCTAGTGTTAACGTAGCATTGTGTGAGACTGTCCAAGTCCCGAAGGTGCTACCTTCAAAAGATAGAGAGTATTATAGTCCTCTCAGTAATGTCGGGTATAAGGAAGAGGGGCTACTAGTTTGGAGGGCGTATGGCATCGGTGACGGTAAACTCATCCCTACAGACAAATTGCATTGCCCATCCCCATCTGACCTACCGACCCTTACCGGAGCAACTCGCTCTTACTCAAGCGCATTTACATCTGTCAAGGAGAGGCGCATAAAAGCATCAGTTCGAGATCCAGATCCACCAGTGAAGAGGAAGACAGTAACGCGGCGATCTTCATTTGTCCTGAGGAGGGTTTTGTCAAACATTTGTGATATATTCATCAATGCAGCGGTATTTAGACTGTGGAAAACACCCACGTGCTCTTGAGCGATATACTCTACTGGATAGAGCTGCTTTTGGATATGCTCAAAGGCTTGAGGGCAATGCGAAGCTGTTCCCGAGCTGGACGCAGTTGCAAAACCGCCATCTTCTCACGACACCCTGCCAAAGGGTTGGGCGCTCAAGTCAAGTGCTTCCTGTAAATGTAGATTTACGTACAAGCAAAAAAACTACCTGACTGAGAAATTTCAACAAGGTGAGCGGTCAGGACGAAAAAGTGATCCGGCATCAGTTGCGCGCTCTATGATGTCTGCCATGGACTTGCAAGGGAAACGGATGTTCAGTAGTGAAGAGTTGCTGACTGCATCTCAGGTCGCTGGATTCTTCTCCAGACTTGCGGCAAAGAAGTCTCTATTTAACGATGATGATCTTGAGGAGGAGATTGAATGTGCCACCCAGGAGGTAATCATCGAAGAATTGACCGATGAGGTTTCTCGGGAGCTTTTTCCAGTACACCCCATCATGTGGGATAAATATAATCTATGCAGAATGACCTCAGGAGGGAAATTCAACACGACCAAGTTATCGGTTGCAAAACTAAGCGACATTTGTGCCGGGCTTGACATTGTTGTTGATGTATCCATCAAACGTAAACAGCCCTATACGGACAAAATTGAGGAGTACTTGTCAAACATGTCGCTCCAAAGCGGATAAGTAAAGCCCAACGTTAGCAAAAGGGTGAGGTAGGAGGATGGGAGGAGAGTAATCATAGGGATACGTTCTTCAGTATCACGACCCAAATACCACGCCAAGCCCTAACCTAAGCGTACGTCAATCGTGGGAGCACTGTCATATAGACTTTCTTTTTAGAATCCATGTCAGTAAGATGCTGCAGGGGATTTATATATGTTTGCGCTTTGCAGGAAATTTGTTTTCCGGCTTGCGCCCGCGCAATTTTGTTTTCAAAATCTTCCAGACCGCCTCCCCCCCTTTAAATAAATAAACAAATGGAATAGGCCGTCCTTTACCCCTAATAAATTTTGTTTTCACTCACTTTAAATTCAAAGTTGGCACAAGGGTGGGGTGGGGGACTTGGGAGAGTGAATAGGGTGTGGTTACGAACTCTTAACTATTTTCCACTACCCACTGAGCTGAGTAATAGCTGAGTGCGCTAAGGAGGAAAACGGGAAGTTGTAACTTCAAAGAAAAACGTATTTTGAGCGAAAGCAATTGAATGAATTACTGTATAAAATATTTCGAACAAAAGACATGAAAAAGCCTTGTGTATGTTTACATCATGATGGAAGATCTTAATTAAACTGTTGCAGTGGCCATGTAATGAACCGTTAAATAAATTGCATGCAACATCAACAAGAAAAAGAAATTGTTTGCATAGGAAAACGTTTGTCCCCCGTCCCCCGTCAGAAAAAAATTTATATTCTAATCACACTACAACGATTATAAAATATTTTGTAACTAATCTAAATAATCACAAAACACAGAACAGGAGCGGGAATCTTGTTTATTGATGCCCGCGTTGGAAAATAAAGAAAGAGAAATGGCAAACTAAATATGTACACTTTTAGACACTGAGAGAAGAGAACCTAGTTTGTCCTTAATATAACCGTCTTTAGCTTGATCAGTTTTCCACCTTCAATGACGCTTAAAAAGCCGATCGCTAACGCCTGCGTTAGCGGCCGCAGAAGCACCTCCCGCCCTTAAACTATGTAAACCAAATAAATTTTTCGCATAACCTAATTGAACAAACGCTTGTAAAACTATTTCTCTCGTTCTAGAATAACTCATACCCGTACTACGCAAACTATAAGTAGAGGTAGCCTTATGAAAATACAAAGAGCAAAAAAAGGTCCCATAAACATCCATTTTGCCTTTGTACTGACATAAATCTTGAGAAAAGAATCGCAAGAACTAACATCGCAACAGCGTAGGCTAGCTAACTCATTATAGCGGAGAAAAGCGGTAGACGCGGTTACGCAAATGGTTGCTAAACAAAGATCAGAAAGATTAGCATTAGGACCGGCGAACCTGTTACAAATATCTGAAATCATAACGGGGGTAACGGGTTCTTTTTTAGAAACAGGTTTCGCAAGACCTCTCTTAGCTGCCTCGAGCACGTTCTTAACCAATTTGGAATCGCAGGGACTTTGAAAACCATACAAATTATGCGCCCAATTAATACCATAGCAAGCAGACTCAAGGGAAGAATAAGGGGAACCACCCTGAATCAGGGACTCCAAATAAAGAGCAACTGATATCTCGTCCGATGGCAGGCAAACGACCTCGTTATAAGGTGAAGACCATTCCCTGAATTTCTGAAAAGCTCTCGAGTAACGCTCCGTCGTCGAAGGAGCCTTCGCTTCAATGGTACGCAAGGGAAGATCGGCTGCTAACTTACGAAGCTCTGGATCCTTTAGATGAGCAATCTTCAAAGCAAACGCACGTCCACCTTGTAGAAACATCAATATAATAAGAAAAGAAAAATAATTATGAGCAAACGACCGAGCAATTGAGTGAAAATAAGAAGCCTCGATAATGAAAAAAGTCAACCAACCAAAACGGCTTACATACAGACAGCCAGTGGCGTAAAAACGTGCAATCTTCATGTACTGGCAAAAACTACTGGGTTCGTCGTAAACTGGCCAAGCGGCGTACAACTCCACAGCAAGATATATAGATTCCCGTACAGCCCCGTCGAGCAACAGAAAAAGCACTGGGGTACTAAAATTGTTCCCCCCCCCCCCCTCCTATGGAGGAAAACATCCTTAGCATTCTCGACGTAGAGACAAACTGCAACAAATGACTTGGAAACACCTTCGCGTTCCACCAAAAGGGGCCAGTAATGGGCTGACGGCCAGTAAGGACCTACTAAAATTCCCCGACAACTACACAAACAGACATGAAGGATGACCTTCTCAACTAGCGAAACAGGTGGCACAAGCCAACATGACACAACTAAAGGCGATTGAATCGACACCCAAGGAATATGGATTAAAGTATTTGGAAAAGAACCTGGGAACCTTGCGATTTTTGTAGCTAGCAAAGCAGTCTACTGAGCAGGGGCCCCAAACAGAGGTAACAGCATGAAAATAGCAATCTTTGACTATCCAGTCATCATAATCAACAATCTTACTCAAATAATCTGCCAAGGAATATGGATTAAATATGGATTAAAGTATTTGGAAAAGAACCTGGGAACCTTGCGATTTTTGTAGCTAGCAAAGCAGTCTACTGAGCAGGGGCCCCAAACAGAGGTAACAGCATGAAAATAGCAATCTTTGACTATCCAGTCATCATAATCAACAATCTTACTCAAATAATCTGCTCTCTCATTCTGAGTACTAGGTATCCCCTCAACCTCAAGGTGAATCTTATTATCTTTGGCCGTCTGAAATATGTCGAGCGCCAAGATATGCAAATGCTCCTTCATACTACCAGAATGAACAATCGAAGGAACTGCTGGATATCAGTAAACCACTAAACATCGCAGCCTGAGAGAAGGTGTGCAAAGCTTTTCAGAGCAAAACTCTTAATAAACAATGCGAGATGGCTTACGAACAGTATTGAGAAACGACCTAGAATTCAGGTTAGAATCGTATTCTTCCAAAACTCTAACTCTTTGCGAGTGCATGGGTCCAATTCAACACAGGAATCGCACCCTTGCCTGCGATCGAGAGCCCTGTGTAGGCTTTTGGTCATCACCTTACACACATTGCCAAAAACAAGCATATTAGAAATAATACTTCCGGTGACAGAAGCCAGTCGCCTGGCTGGTAATCTACTTGAAGGAGCACAATGTCAGTACTCGCTAGTAGCCTGTCGATTTTTTCCACACAAATAGATAACAAATTATGCTTTAAATCCCATTGATAGCCCAACCATCTGAGAGACTGAACTGGGACCCATGTGCTTTTAACACTATTAGTTACAAAGCCCGCTTGGGACAAATCTGATTTCACAGCCATAGACTGGGAATAACAGTCAGGAAATGTTGGACATACGCCTAGGCCATCATCCAAATATACAATTCTAATAGCCTGGAGACGCCAATAACGTATTAAGGGCCTCAGAACTTTTGTAAAAATATAAGGCCGGTGGAAATGCCTAATGGCAAAACAGTAAATTTATATAATCGAATAACCCCATCCTTAGACCAGGAAAAGCCTAAAACTCTTGGTCTGGGGAAAAAATGTCAATATGATGATAACCTGATTTGATATCAAAGGAAAATAGCCAATTCCGAGAACAATCGACAAAGGAATAAAGCATGGTTCTCGCATCCTCGAATTTAATCTTGGATTTCTTAAAAAATTTTATTCGGATATCGTATTTATAATATGAGCCTTTTCTTTCCATTAGCCTGAATGGAAACGGATAGGGGGTTAACCACAGTAGAGGCAAACCCACATTCAACCACTGAACCTTCTATAAGGAGATCAGAAATAGCTAGTTCCACAAATTCACTATGCTGAATGGCTGATCGATTATTACCAAAGCTCGCTGCGGGTGGAGTGTAAATAAACGGGATCTTATACCCATCGACAATAGTATCGCGAATGAAACGAGAAGCACCTATATGCTCACAAAAGGCTACATTGCGCTTAAGACTACCTTTAACCTTAACGATAGGAACTCCCTCTTGATATTCGGGACTTATTACATCACGAGATAAATCAGACGCAGCAACATAATTCTCGAATAGTTCCACTGGGTCAAAGTCATTTAAACATGTAACCAAATTCACTAAATTATACTCATCTTTTCGTAATCTCTGTAATGCAACTTTGTATTTGTCGTCAGTTTGCGGCCTTGCTGCTCGAAGGGACTGCAACGGTTCCTCTAAGGCGGCTGGGACAGGAAGTTAAATTTGCCCAATGACCTTTCTGTCCGTAACTGAAGCACTTTTCCGAAGGTTGAGGTCGACGCTCGCGAAAGGACTGCCCACGAAAAAGCTGCTGATTAACAGGACAAGTATTGGAAGGCCCAGCAAAAGAAACTTCACTCGATGGCTGATGGGTACTTGTATAGCTAGGTCGGGCAGACGAATTCCTACGCTTGTTCTCGTGGATCCTGGCCAATGCCCGTCTTTCTGCTGAACGAAGCCTCTTTTCATCCTCAGAATCCTCCGCCAACTCATCTGATTCGTACTCTTTAACGGCTGTCCCGCCCGCAGGACTCTTATCCGCAAAACGAATAAACTTGTTTCGTTTTGTAACTGTAAAGGTTTCCTTTTGAGATGTTCTTAATGGCAGCGTCCCCTTGAAATTAAAGGAATTTGAAGCTTTTGATTCGGTTTTCAGCTTCTTAAGCTGCGATTGCGTGGCAGCTTCTTTGTCCTCGAGATCGCGCTTAGACGCGGCGAACTTTTGATCAAATTTGACATCCAAAAGTTGGGAGAATAACTGCAAAGTTTCAGCATTTGATAAGGACGTATCCGAGGAAACAGCACTCAGTTGAGCAGAGTCTCAGGCGTTGTTAGTTTCCAAAGACGCATGAGGGACACTCGCTGTTTCAGAAACCGACATGGCATAAAAACTAGGGTTGAAAGAGATGCCTCGAATGGCTCTTGCATAGCTTAACAAACCTTAAATAGTGTACTAGCCCCTTGAGACACCTTACAGCTCGCCTTAAATACTTCAGCAGTATTATGCAACCTAATATACATACTCTTGTGAAACTAACGAAACGTTACAAAATATATTAATCACCTGGTCCGGAAGTGACGAAGGAAGGATTGCGTTACACTCACTAGACCGAGATTTACGTCTTGCGCTTNGGACTCTTATCCGCAAAACGAATAAACTTGTTTCGTTTTGTAACTGTAAAGGTTTCCTTTTGAGATGTTCTTAATGGCAGCGTCCCCTTGAAATTAAAGGAATTTGAAGCTTTTGATTCGCTTTTCAGCTTCTTAAGCTGCGATTGCGTGGCAGCTTCTTTGTCCTCGAGATCGCGCTTAGACGCGGCGAACTTTTGATCAAATTTGACGTCCAAAAGTTGGGATAATAACTGCAAAGTTTCAGCATTTGATAAGGACGTATCCGAGGAAACAGCACTCAGTTGAGCAGAGTCTCCGGCGTTGTTAGTTTCCAAAGACGCATGAGGGACACTCGCTGTTTCAGAAACCGACATGGCATAAAAACTAGGGTTGAAAGAGATGCCTCCAATGGCTCTTGCATAGCTTAACAAACCTTAAATGGTGTACTAGCCCCTTGAGACACCTTACAGCTCGCCTTAAATACTTCAGCAGTATTATGCAACCTAATATACATACTCTTGTGAAACTAACGAAACGTTACAAAATATATTAATCACCTGGTCCGGAAGTGACGAAGGAAGGATTGCGTTACACTCACTAGACCGAGATTTACGTCTTGCGCTTAGGAATTTTTTTTATTATACAAGAAACTAAATGAATATCAAGAGGTTGTTCACTGAGAGGTAGACATTGCTACATATGGATTGATTTTCCGGAAAAGTGTTGCACAAGCTTAGCCTGGAACCGGCGTCGTATAAGCTCGATGTCAAGATATGACCCTAAATTATAAAGCGCGGCAACAAGAAAGCAATGGAAAAATTAACTGAGAACGTCAAAATTAGTTGCCTTCAGACACCCATTTGGAAGGTAAGCTGTTATCGAAGTATTATCTTAGGTTTTCTGGGTAGTTTTAATTGAAAATGGCAGTGTCTTTCAGTGGTTTGCTCAGAAAGCGAGCTAAGGCTAGTTAAATTGTTTACATTTCCCAGTGAAACAAAATCTCTTCGAAAGGTCAAATTGGGTCAACTTGTATGGGACCGCTCGCCTCAGAAATAACTTTTGCCAACAAAAAATTACAGCACGTTCAAAAACAGCTCTTTAACTTCGTAGAATTGAATTTTGAAAGAATTCTGAATAATACCGTGTATGTTTTGAGATTTTTGAAAACGGTATGGGATTTTTGAATTTTTGATTTTCAAAGTCTAGAAATTTCGGTTCTCTTCGCTTGCCCTCCAGGAATTCGGAATTACAATTGTAAGTATAAAATATCATCAAAGCAGCTTAGCAATACAAACCAAATAAAATTATAAACTAAGAAAAACTTCAATTTCCTATGCGCCTTCAAGCGAGTTCGATTATGTGATAATGAAATTTGACCTCATTTCTGTGATTTTTCGGCTCTACGGGTTGTCGACGCTTTCTCGTAATTTTCTCAAAAATGTAAAAACCCTAGAACCTAAGACTTGACTTATGTCACGATTCTTAGCACACCATAGGTTATCTCTGGACCAAATATCAAGGGGTCCATTTTTCCGACCTTGTGCCACATTTTTTCAATCTCACTCGATCCCTATAGAGAGTCGCTGTTAACTTCCCAAAATCCTGAATTGAAATTTTTGCTGACTTTAAGAGTATGGCTTTCCAAAATCCTCAATTCAAGGTTTTGGCTCACTTCAAGATTTTAGCTTTCCAGAATCCTGAATTCAAGATTTTGGCTGGCTTCAAGATTTTAGTTTTTTAAAATAATAGACTCCAGACTTTGGCTGACTTCAAAATTTTAGCATTCCAAAATTCTAATTTGATCATTTTGGCTGACTTCAAGATTTTAGTTTTCCAAAATAATGGATTCCAGACCCCGAAATCAAGATTTTGGCTGAATTCAAGATTTTAAGTCTCCAAAATCCTCAATTGAAGATTTTGGCTGTCTTCAAGATTTTAGCTTTTCAAAATCCGTAATTCAAGATTTTCGCTGTCTTCATAATTTTAGTTTATTAAAGTAATAGATTCAAGATTTTGGCTGAGTTGAAGATTTTAGCTTTCCAAAATCCTGAATTCAGGATTTTGGCTGACTTCAAGATTTTAGTTTTCCAAAATCCTGAAGTCACTTGTTTGGCTTACTTCAAGATTTTAACTTTCCAAAATAATGCATTCAAGATTTTGGCTGACCTTAAGATTTTAGCTTTCCAAAATCTTGCATTCAATATATTAGCTGTCTTCAAGATTGTAGCTTTTTTAAAGTGTAAATTCAAGATTCTTGCTGACTTCGAGTTTTTTTTCCAAAATTCTGAATTAAAAATTTTCGCTGACTTCAAGATTTTAGCTTTCCAAAGATGTTGGCTGACTTCAACACTTTAGCTTTCCAAAATCCTCAATTGAAGATTTAGGCTGACTTCAAGATTTTAGGTTTCCAAAATCCTGAACGCACGATTTCGGCTGACTGCAAGGTTTTACCTTTGCAAAATAATGAATTCAGCGTCTTGGCTGTCTTCAAGGTTTTAGCTTCCTTCAAGATGTTAGCTTTCCAAAATCTTTAATTCAGGATTTTGGCTGACTTCAAGATTTTAGCTTTCCAAAATCCTCCATGGAAGGTTTTGGCTGACTTCAAGATTGTAGCCTTCCAAAATAATGCATTTATGATTTTGGCTGACCTTAAGATATTAGCTTTCCAAAATCTTGCATTCAATATATTCGCTGACCTTAAGATTTTAGCATTTTAAAAGTGTAAATCTCAGATTTTGGCTGACTTCAAGATTTTATCTTTCCAAAATAATGCATTCAAGATTTTTGCTGACATTAAGATTTTAGCTTTCCAAAATCCTGAATTCAATATATTCGCTGAATTTAAGATTTTGGCTTACTTCACGACTTTAGCTTTCCAAAATTCTCGATTGTAGATTTCGGCTGATTTCAAGATTTCAGCTTTCCAAAATCCTAAATTCACGATTTCGGCTGACTTCAAGATTTTAGCTTTCCAAAATCCTGAATTCAATGGTTTGGCTGAATTCAAGATTTTAGCTTTCCAAAATTCCGAATTCAAGATTTTGCCTTCCTTCAAGATTTTAGCTTTCCAAAACAATGAATTCAACATTTTGGCTGACCTCAAGATTTTGGCTTACTTTAAGATTTTAGCTTTCCAAAATCTTTAATTCCAGATTTAGGCTGACTTCAAGATTTTAGCTTTCCAAAATCTTGCATTGAAGATTTTGACTG